TTACAATTTTTTCGCAAACCAGGGGTATTTTCGTTTAATATGATTAGACAATACGGTTGTTAGCATTTCTACCAGACTGGCCAATTGTGATCATGGATTTGTCGTTGACAGTATCGTTGAAGGTTATGGTCAAGGTCAGATAAATTATAAAAAGTGGTACATCCTACCTTTCACCAGCGAAATAACGAAGCGAAAAATCTTTAAGCATTTCGAAAACGCTACACTCAATGATCATGCTCAGGAAATAACAGGAGGAATTTATTACCGACCTCCTGTAGAACCCAGAAGCACCCCAATTATCGCGTATTGACAAGTGTAGGACATTATTATAGTTTGTTAATGTTGACAGTAAACGTACTATTGTTAAGGGTTATTCGGGACATTGATTTGACTTCGAAGAGTGATTTGGGCGCTTAAAGTCAAAACAAGATCCATTACCGCTCAATCTAAGCTACATCACTGCCAAATAGGAGATCCCACAAATAATAACTTGACCTTGAGCATTTTTCAACGTTATATTTCAAGTCGATAACATGATGACCATTGTCCAGTCAGGCGATAAGTATATGTACAGGGTGTTTCAAAACTAAGGGGTCAAACTTCTAGAAGTTATCAGTGTAATAGTAGAAAACATTTGAGTATAGGGACCTATATCCGGAAAAGTGTCACTGCTGCACTACGGCCCTAAGACTCATTAAAATTTAGAAAGACGATGAATTGCCTGCATAGGATTTAACGCATTTAATTTTTCCCTTTTGTACATGATATCATCACAACAATTGTTCAAAATGTCATCCTCCAACCAGAATACACCGATTTCAAGTGGTGCTGTAATTCGTCCAATTAAGTATTGCTCTGTTTTTACTGGAGTTTCGTAAACCAAAGACTTTACATGTACCCAAAGGAAAAAAACTAGCGACGCTAAATCGGGTGACCTAGGAGGCCAAGAAACTGCTCCACCTCGGTGCCCAAGCCGCTGAGCGAAATCCTCACGACTTGTACAGCAAAGTGAGCCGGCGCTCCATCATGCTGAAACCACATTTGGTGTCGAACGTTCAATGTAACATTTTCAAGAAGTTCGGGAAGAACTTCCTCCAAGAAACGCCGGTAAATAGGTCCTGTTAACCGTTCCGGTAGAAAGTATGGCCCAATCAAATAATCACCAACAATGCCTGCCCATACGTTGATAGACCAACGTTGCAGATGTTTTCTAGGAAAAATTGCATGTGGATTTTCTTTGTTCCAAACGTGGCTATTTCTATTATTAAAAATACTCATGTGAAAGAGGCTTCATCGGTCCATAAAACAATTTGGTTGTGCAGCGATTTGATGAAGAAGCTGCAGTCAATCCTTGAACTTTCTGGAAGTGGCGAGGATAAAGTTGTTGCTCGTGTAGCACCCGCCAGACGGAAGCGTTACTCGTATTCATGTCCTCAGCAATGTGACGTGCGCTACTTGATGGTTCGTCGGCCGCTCGCTGAAGGACCTCTTCTTCAAATTCGACCGTTCTTACGGTTCGAGCAACACCAGTATCATGCATGTCGGTTTTAAACATGCCTGTCTCGGAGAACCGCCGATGAATAGCAATAAACTCTTTTAACCCCGGATGCTGTCGTTCGGGATGACGTTTTTGATATAACCGCGCTGCTGCTAGTGCATAGCAGCTTGTTGTTCCGTATGCCACATGCATATCCGCCAATTCTTGATTGGTTAAGTTTTCCATTAGCCACAATTTGTGTTAAAATCTTGCAAACTTCACGAATACGATAGCACGACTAACGCGATACAGCTACAAAAAACAATCTCTGTTATCGTTTTTAAAGATAACAACACACAATCGGGGTCTCTACAGTATATTGAGATAAGAGATAGACCGGACATAAACAAGACCACGTGATCATCGAACGCTGTAACATTCGGCAGGGACGTATTAAGAGCCACGCAGTACATATTTTAGATAGTAGATGCTGCTTTGCGTAACTTTGTAGTAAATTAGCACAATTCGATGTGTATACGATTGGTGATGGATATAGGATCGTGTGGGAGTGGGGTAAGAAATATATAATGATGTAAATATACATAAGGGTTTCAAAATTTTCGCTTCGATTTCCAGCTTCGGATGCCGCCTGATGTTTGCTGAAATACAGTCGAATATAATCTCAAAATGGCGTTTAAATTAGCCTGAATTAAAAATAATCGTATATCTCTTAAAATTGCTTTTAGAATATTGATTAGTATATTTTTTGATTTCTAGATAAATATGTAACCAAATTAAAACGTTCAAAACGTAAAAAAATGTGCATGGTTGAACATTGTCAGAAAGTAGATTCTTGAATAGGTTTTGCCAAAATGGGTTCAAAAATGTCAATAATTAATTAAAAAATACAGTAGCTTTATAATTACTTATAACTTACCGAATTTGATGAACGACATCTTTTATTGGAAAGATGAGCTTGATGAGCTTTCATCATCGCTACTGTACTGAAGCACCAACGTCAATAATGAATGGCTCGACTTGTTCCTCTAAAATATTGTCCAGTTCCCACATTCTCTTTTCAACTTTGTCTTTCACGTGCTTAATACAGTTTTCCCATTTTTGCGCTGTTATTAATTCTAGTGCTTCTTTGAAAAGTCCTTTGAGGTCACAAAATTTAAAAGTTGTATTGTGCTTAGCTATATAATTTTTAACTTCTGCCCATATGAGCTCAATGGGATTGAGCTCGCAATGGTATGGAGGTAAACGGAGCACAGTTTTATTTTGACTTGCTGCCATTTCGTCAATGGCGTATTTTTGATATTCCGCCTTGTGATCCTTGACAATTCTTAAATTGTACTTTCAGCATTGCTTCTTCAAAGTTGATATTTTTCGAGCGGAGCCAATTTTGAACATCAACTTTCCTTGAACCCGTTGTTGGGACCTTCTCCATTCTTCGAGAATGATAAGGCGCATTATCCAACACAATTACTGCGCTTTCCTCTAAGTTCGGTAAAATTTTTGAAAACCACTGTTCAAACGATTCGCCATTCATTTCCTCGTGGTAATCTCCAGTTTTCTTAGACTCAAAGCACCACAGACCATCAACAACAAATCCATCCTCACTGCCAATATGGCAGATAATGAGCCTTTTCCCTTTACCTGGAAATCGAAGTACTAACTGGTGTAGATTTATTCCAATAAGCGAACCTTTTTCAAATGTTTTCATCACATTCAGCGAAAAAACATTGAGACATGAGTATCAGATTGCTATAATTGGGATTATTTAGTCATATTGAAAGAAAGAATACTGAACATCGTATGATTACTCAGCGCTTCACAATTTAATTTAAAGTTATAAACCTCTAAAAAATGAATGATCAGGAACCTGAAATACGCGCAAATATTAATATTAACAAATTATAACTTTATAAAGCTTAAAGTATGAATTAAAATGAGTGGAAATATTAGGAACGGTACACAATATAAAACTTAGTAACTTTTTTTAAGTTTATAATATTCGACATATTTTAAGATTATATTAAAAAATTATTGAAATATCGAAAACACATAAAAAGTTCTAACAAATGAAAATGACAATAAAACATCCACGCATTTTATCGAAAGTTATAAAAGTTTTGTTACTTGTAATATGTTTTATCTGCCCCCTGGAATTAATGTTTAGAACCTTGTTCCCAAGGTTTGAAAAACATCCGATTGTTGTCTATTACTCGTATTTACCTGCTGGATTTTTTAATCCGGTGGACAGTCCATCTAGAAAGGCCCTCCTGGATGATGTTACAGAATCATCAACCCATACTTTACTTGTAGTGTGTCCTGCGTTTACCCATGTTTCATCAAGGTAATAAATCTTCCTGTTTTGATTTCTATATTTCCCAATTTTTGTTAAATAATCCCTCCTCCATAGCACAATTTCTTCTCTGTCCAGTAGTAAACTATTACGACCCCGTTTTTTCCATTCGAAATTTAAATGCTTCAGTAACGCATGGAAAGTTGATCGTTTGAAATTTGGCAACGTTGTATCTCCATTTACCTCCTGCAGTACTTTATCTATAGTAGGTATTTCATTCCTAAAGAAGAATTCGTGCACTTTCCTCCTAATCGCATGCTTATCAGCTTCATCCAATGATTTAACAATACTTTTGCGATGTTTACTGGTCATTGGCTCAGAAAAGGTGTGATTTTTTTTGTATTGTCTTAACACATTAAACACTGATGCGCGACACACCCCAACTTTGTGAGAAACCTTCACAACAATTTCTTTGATGGTTGATGCCTCGTTCTCCTCGCGCTCGATCTTATATATATTCAAAATGACCTCTTTCATTTCTGCACTCAGGTGTCTTTTTTTAGAGCGTTTCCTAGGTGGACTACAGGAGTTTACAACTTCATCGGCAGTATCTGTACTGCTGGGCATTTTGCGCAAGCAGTTGATAACAATAACAATCAATAACAAGGTATAACAATAACAACGACAAACTCAACAACTTAATAAGTTAACAAACGAAAACGTCCAAAGAAATATCAAATTGCAATGATGCACACGACATACGTAACACGTCTGAACCTGAATGTGACTCTGCCTTGATACGACTGTTCTGCCGCTCGGCATACGCATTTAATTGCGAATTGACCAATGAGGGCTAATGTTTTACGTCGAGACGGCGGCGTTAGCGTGAAAATCACCCGAACCTTTTGTTTACATCCGGTCTATCTCTTATCTGAATATACTGTATACTCAAATGTTTTCTACTGTTACACTGAAACCCCTACAAGTGTGATCCCATAGTTCTGAGACACCCTGTTACTTCTTCCGTAATAACATTACTTTAAAACGTACGTTATCCTGCCAATTTCATCAATAAACCCCACTTGGAGGAATTCCGGGTTCCGTACAAGATCGAGGAATGGTTTTTGCTCGAACTGTTTTAGTCAAAAGCCATTTTCCGTAATAAAAATGCGTGGTCCTTTCCTGCCTAGGATTCATAAAATGCTTGCTCTACAGGAATCTCATCGACCCTCCCGGCAAGGACACAGTGACAGTGCCGGACAAAGGCTACGCCATCTTCCGATTCCGTGCCGACAATCCTGGCTTCTGGCTTTTTCACTGCCACTTTGACGTGCACATGCACATCGGCATGGCTGCGGTGCTCCAAGTGGGCGACTGGTGGGACGTACCCGCCGTTCCTTATGGGTTTCCCAGATGCGGTAGCTACGTTCCGGATATAAACATAGCGCTGCTACAATCCGCACCCAAAAAGGAATAAGAAATATTCAGTGGAAAAAAGAAATAGATGTTTTATAAGAATTGTGCAAACCGAACAACAAAATATTACTGATTGAGCAACTCCTGGTGTTCCTTCGTGTAAAACATTTTTATTGAAGATTATTCATTTCCATGAGCATAAACAGGTGAAATGAGGAGAAACGAACATTGTTGCAGGAAAATCGTTTTAATTTGTTAAATGGCGGAGTCTCACTGATATACAGGGTGTTTCAGTTTATTGTCGCATAACTTTAAGATTCGATAGAACTATTAAAATTAATGCATAAAGTCTATATAAACATGGGTCGAAAAATGCGCGGCTTCCGAAATACAGGGTGTTTAAATTTACTTTCTAAAATAGTTTTTTTTTAAATATTTCGAACAATATTTGATGTATAACAGTGAAAATTGTTATACAAGGGTTTTTTGGGAGGACAAAACGAACCATGGGCATAAATTTTTCTTAGTGCAATTTTTTGCTTTTTGAATAAAAAAACTGATTCTCCGCACTTTTCATGCTTATCAGATCAGCAATCACTTGCGCATGTGCTGCATGGTGTTTTCTTGCCAAAACGCATATGCGTAATTTGCAGGTTTTGCAGAACAGAACCTTGCGAACCATCACTAACGCACCATGGTACGTCTCCGAGACCCTTAACAGATACCTCGACATCCCTTACCTAAGAGACTACATCAAACATCAGGCGCAGTTACGCTATAGTCAAGCAACCCTCTGTTGTGTGAGTCAGTAGACTACACAGTCGAGCAGGTTCGCAAGCACACAAGACCGCGGCTCGCACTGTGATCAAAATCAAATCGTGCAATTCTAGATCCAACCAAAATTACGATTTTTGCCACACACAAATTCCTAAATTAATTTTAGGATTAATTTAAAATAACCGAATACCAGTTCCTTCTTTCCTTTCTTTCTTTCAGTTGACACGTTTGAAGGAACATAATATATTTGTAGTGAAACAGCTTACTACAAAACAGCTTTAACAGATTTCTCTTTGCCGCCTTTACGAACGTTAACGGGAATACTATTTCAACGGATAACGTGCGATGCGTTCATACGACACAATTTCGCCGTTTTATGTGTTACTCTAAGCGAAGAGATTGCTGGATATTTCCAGTTTGAGATTGTATATTATATGATGTCTATATCACAAGCTTGATTACCGGATAAAGCGGTTCTTGGTACTGTGTGGGATATAAATCGTTTTGATCAGAAAATATTGCGGTACAGCGAAGATGATATTATTTTATAACCTTTATGTTGTTTTCGGAAATAATTACACAAATTACCAATAACACTGGACAACAAATTTTAGTTTTTTAATTGCATCTTGTGGGAAAAGTGCACTTCTTTGTTAATTTTGGGGCGCTGAATCCAAAAATGACAATGCAATAAAAAAATTAGTTGCGGTTTAGAAAAAAAACTTTTTGTTTTTAAGGATATATTAAAAAAAGTAACAAGATTCATATACTTATAAAAATCACTATATGCGCTGTCTTTTTGCTGTTCTTTTATGGATCGTTTCTGGAGCATCTCTACCAAGAGTCCAACAGTAGTCTGCAAGCATGGAAGGATTCCACTTTCCCTGGTACCTTTTTTCCATTGTTGAAATATCCTGATGAAAACGTTCGCCGTGCTCATCACTTAAGGCTCCGCAATTATCAGGGAAAAAGTCCAGGTGAGAGTGTAGGAAATGTATCTTAAGAGACATATTACAGCCCATCTTTTGATACGATGACAGCATATTTTTGACAAGGGTTTTATAGTTGTCAGCTTTTCTATTTCCCAAGAAATTAGTGACCACCAGACGGAAATCATTCCAAGCAGTTTTTTCAATACCTGTTAAAGTGTGTTCAAACTGTGTATCTTCCAAAATATTTCGAATCTGTGACCCAACAAAAATACCTTCTTTAACCTTTGCCTCACTTAGTCTTGGACATTTCTGACGCAGGTATTGAAAAGCTGACCCATCTCTATTTAATGACTTGACAAAGTTTTTTATTAGGCCCAACTTGATATGCAATGGTGGTAATAAAATTTTTTTCGAATTTACTAATGGCATATGCTGTACATTTTTTTGACCTGGCTCTAGGAATTGACGAACAGGCCAGTTTTGTCTGGTGTAATGAAGTGCCTTTGCCCGACTGTCCCATTCACACAAAAAACAGCAAAACTTTGTGTAGCCTAGCTGCACCTCAAGTAAAAGTGCAACAACTTTCAAATCGCCACAAATATGCCAGTGGTGCTCATCGTATTTTATGCATGTCAATAGGTACTTCATATTGTCATATGATTCTTTCATGTGAACTGCATATCCTACAGGAAGAGATGGTAAAATATTTCTAATATGCAATAACACTGCCTCTAAACTCAATGTTGAACTGTCTATAAGCAATCTCCATTCTTCTGGGTTATAGTTTATATTTAAAGCCGCCAGTAAGCCGTTAATGTTACTGCAGAAAACCATATTGAAAAATGGTTCTAAGTCTTTGTGGCGTTTACAAAAAACACATACCGAAACATCGTCTTCTAACAAGTTCCACTGCTGCAGTCTTGATCCAAGTAACTCTGCCTTACATTTTGGAAGTTTTAAATCTCTTACAAGATCATTTAATTCTGACTGTGTTATTTTGTGCGGTTGGTGGCATGACGTGCTCTGTATAAAATCAGGATCTCTTGACGTTGATGGCATATCTTCTTCCTGACGAATCACTCGATCGCCATGATCTGATTTGTTTTCTGATTCGCAAGTGTAGGATTCTGGGGGTTTTGGAATAGGATTTTCGTCACTGTGAGGCACAGGTCTCATCGCAGAAGGTATGCTTGGGTAGTTAATAACCGATTTTTTTTTCTTGGTCATACCTGTGGCTTGTCCAACACAAGGTACCATGCAAAAGTAACAATCATTAATATGATTTGTAGGCTCTCTCCAAACCATTGGGACAGCAAAGCGCATAGACCGTTTTTTGCCATTTAACCAGCTCCTCAGTCTTGAAGCACATGTATTACAGCAGATGTGGGGTGCCCACTGTTTGTCTTGATCACCTAGTTTACAACCGAAATAAAGCTGATATGCCTTTGTTATTAGTGGAGTAATAGACCGTCTCTGAGACGCAAGAGTCACATCACCACACACGTAACAAAACTGATCTGAATTGTTTACACACTTTCGAGACATCTTGCATGAACGCTGTCAGCCAACTGAGGAAAAAATGGCTAATATAAAACAATATAATGTACACGTATGTATAACGTAACACAATCATGGCGATTACATCATCTTTCCTTGCCGAATATAAAAATGTAGCACGTGCATTCTTGTGAATTACAGTATATTAACACTGTCACAGCAGGAACACATATAATTACCGTATCTCTAAAACTTGAACTAATATTGAAAAAATAAGTTTCATTCCGGTTTTAACACATTAAAAATAGTAATATTTTGTTGATTTTATTTAGGATATTTTTTGGCTGTTGATCAGTGTAATTTTTTATAAAAGCGTGTGGTCTAAAAACTGCATGAGTTTATTTTTTGACAAAATATGAAAATAGCCGAATCAGGTTTCTTAATGACAACATGCTTATCGATTTTATTTTGATTCACGAGTGTAATTCGGTAGAATATTTCCCGAGTTGATAAAATCCATAAACTTCTGATATACTGTTTTTTGTATTCCTAGGTTTACTTTTGATCACTTGTTTTTGAATTAAACTCAAAAAATCATTGCCGAAACGTGACATTACGACTTTTAGAATTCGATATTTATGCATGTCAAGATGACAAATGCACATTTCGTCAATCGTAACCATAGATACGGACCTATAGGAAAATTTTCTATACCTATTGGGCAATTTTCACTATTTTCCTCGTCTTAATTTCTACCAATTCCAAACGCGCAATTTTGAATTATAAATGGTTTCTAGATGGAAAAATTGTATGATAGCACCTGTCAGCAGTTTTTTCGAGTTTTCCCGCGGCAAAACTTGTCAGTTGCAGAGTAATCCGTCTAATACCACTCGGGTATCTATTTTTTTCCTGTCAAAAACATCCAAAAAAAAACAGTTCAAAGTAATATTTTTTTAACAAAATATTCATGCAGGTGCCGAGTCGAAGACGTCTCCGATTCGGATTCTTGTTGTCACCAGTACTGATGCTTCTTGTTAAGATACTACTTAGCAACGTGTTTTTCAGATTTTTTTTCGGATAACTTAGATGCACTTATGATATTACTTATGAAAATTTCGCTTTGTCTAGGTTTTATTGGTAATTTTATAGCAAGTAGTGAGTTTTCCATTAAGAACTTAGCTTTTTTTTAATAAAAACTCAAACCTTTTGAGATATCTCGAAAATTTTATTATTGGACCACACCATACGTTATTTTTTGTGGATGAAGAGGTGCACATGAGAATTTTCACCTGACCAATGACAAATGCTCTGTTTGTTGACGAAGCCGTTTAGCCAAAAATGCGGCTCATCACTGAGATGGTTTTGCGATGAAATTAGTCATTTTCTTGCAACATTTCTAGAGCCCAATTCGAGAACGTACGTCGATGCATATCGTCGCCTTTCTCACGAAGTGTCCTAACTGACAAAATAGCAAACATTGAGATAACCCGCATATAGGTGTATTATTCGATGCCGGTTAATCTGACTTAGAGGCATAACTATATATCTATTAGTATAGGTAACAAATCATTAACTCCTGGGTGTCTTATCTGTCAAGGTAAATATATAATTCCCACGAAGAGACCTAAATGAGGATAGGTCTCATAGTATGCTATAATCGTTGCTAGTATACGCACCTCGGTGGCCGAAACATGGCTAAAGTGAAGGGAGGCTCTGCCCACAGTGCAATTCATACTGCGGTAAAGGGAGCTGGAGATCTTTTTGAAGTCTGACAATTCTATCCGGTTTTTCGATTGGCCAGAAGACGTCAACCTTATTTAGTAATCCCAATGAATATTTTGACTTCACGGAACTTTCAAAAAATTTAAGAATGTCGTCCACAAGGCAAACTGAGAAAGGGCAAAATATTAAATGGACGGGTATTATGGACTTTATGGTAAGAAAAGACATGCCCACCAAAATATTTTTCAAGTCTAGACACCACGATACTAGTTATGACAGTATTGAGTTAAAAAGGCCGTTGAGAAATAGTAATAATATAAATGATATTAAACTACAACAAGCAAAAATAACAAAATAGAAATACTCCGACTAAATTTCCTTATGTGAAAATCCAACACCCGTCGTACGCTTACCAGAATTCCAACACTTTTTAGAAATTTGCCCCATGCAACGGAATGAAATAAGTATTAAAACTGTTGCCTGTTTTTTTGTGTATTATAACACATCAGCTGGTAATATGTTTAAGTTAGTTGTTTTTCTTTTAGTTTTTATTTCAATAAAAATTGCTTTGACGTTTCGAGTTGTTTTCTTCATCTTATCACCTAATATTTGTGTCATAATCTACATCAATTAAGGGCTTGGACGCTCTGGGAAATGTTGTAGGAGGTAGCCAAAATTCAAAAGTCGATCTGAACTTTTTTACAAAAATTCTGCAGAACAACGATTACTTAAAAAATTATCAATCAATACATTTTTTGGATAGTCGCCCCTTTGGCTGTAAATATGATTCTTTGCTTATAAGTAAATGAAATAAATTCTGTATATCTGTAATAATAAGAACTTTAATAAAAATTTATTTTAACCCTATGTGACAAAAAGCTTCTGAAAATTGTCACGAAGTGACCTACGTGCGTTTTCCATTTTGGTACAAAGTAACTTGATCAGCTAGCGTAAATATTGAAACAGCATATGATCGACAACGAATATGGGTTGATGCACTGACATGTTCAATTCCGAAATATCTAAACTTTACATACAATGCTCATTCAACAATACCCTGATTTCGTTTTCTTGCTCTCCTGTAAAACTTACTAAACGTTGGTTAGGACACTTCGTGAGAAAGCCGACGATATGACCGAACGGCCTTAGTTCTTGAATTAAATTGATGGGTGCAGGCCTAGATCCCTTCGCACAATTCGCCATAGTGCGGTTTGAGCGATGCCCAGTTCTTAAGAACGCCGTGGAATCGACGTGTTCTGCTCGTTTGAGGGAAGTTTGAAAGGCAGCAATATTCTCGGTACTTTTACCAACCCCTTGTTTCACTGGCACGCGAACATCCAGCAGCGAATATGTGGACTCAAATTGTTTTACTAGACTATGAATTTCTTGTCTACTGGGACGAGAATTACGACCAAAAATCGGCGTTAACGCTCTTAAAATTGCAGTCACCGACTCGGTATTTCGCTAGAAAATTTAAATTATTTGTAAACTTTGTTCGCTCATGTACTTCACCATGATGAAAGGGTTTTATTTATTGAATTTTTTGAATGTTATTTATTTCAAGATGCGGTCACAGTGAAAGTTCAAAGTTGTCAAGTCCCTATTGCAAAACCCGATGTTTCAGTTTTTATTCAGTTTTTGTAGGTTAACTTGCTTATTGAATATTGCTCTTTAATCTCAACCGTAAGTTATTTATTTATCTGAGACACTATTTTAAGCAAATGTACCTTTATTCCTGAAATCGATGTTATATTTTAATTTGCCGTGAGTATGCTAGGAATAAATATAATTGTTACAAAAATCGTCTCTTTGTTTTGGAACCTCCACTGGTACCTTTCGATATACAGGGAAAAAAAGGATACGAGGGATGCCTTTTAAGTTTTGCATCTAGAAACATAGTAAATCGCGCGGATCGAACATCAGTACTGAATCTTAACCTCACTCTTCTAAACTTAAATTCAAAGTTTCACAATAATACGCGCAGTTTTCTCACTACAGTGAATTTTTCAGTGTCACCAAGTCGTTAGAAAAATGGAACTCAACCGAGAACATTTTCGCGCCATAATTTATTACAACCTTCAGAGACAATTATCGCAACAAGAATGCCTTGTTGAGTTACTGTCTGTTTTCGGCAACGAAGCGACACATCAGTCGACAATTTCCCGTTGGTATGGAGAATTCAAACGTGGACGGGTCAGTCTTAGCGACGATTCCAGGTTGGGTGCACCCAGGAAAACGTCGATGCTGTACGCAAACTCATCATTGAAGATAGACGCGTGACATATCGCGAGATTGAGGCGTCCTTGAAGATCTCAAAGACCTCAATTCAAAAAATTTTACATGAAGAATTAGGAGTAAGAAAATTAGTTTCTCGTTGGATACCCCACCTGTTGACTGAAGAACGTTGCCTAGCAACGGTGCAATCTGCCGCGTACCAATATGTTACGTCCAGGCTTCAACAATAGGTCATGTTACTGTCACATCCAAGAAGCAGGTCTGTTCGAACATTCAATCTAAAATTTTGTTTTCATTTTGATTAGAATTATGTATTTCAACTTTGATGCGACTTAGTGTTTTAATTTATTTTATAATTACCTTTGATTTCCACCGATGGTGACAAAATCAACACATCCTGAGTTCTTGTTACATTTTGCGACAGCGAGCGGTGTAAAAATAATTTAAAATGTATCATTTCTTTAATTATACCTTTCCAGTAAATAGTGGTACTGATATTTTCAATAAAATGCTCAGTAATTGCTGTCATATCAATCCAGATATTGTATCAGATTTGGTTCATGCTTCGAGTTTGACCCAAATCCTTCTTTTTGATCGGTGGAGGTTCCAGCGACAGTCGCGGGCTTCGTGCCGGCGCTCAAATGAAAAGATACGCTTTTGTAGCTAAATCCGACGAATTACGAAGTATTTCTTAATTTAATGTGGAAATTAGGGGCCACAAATCGTATACTTTTTCTCTAGTTTTACATGAAATCGATTATATTCGTTACTTGAAAAATGTCTTCCCATTCGTTGAGATTGTGCCATAAGAACAATTTTGCTTAGTAAAATCGGCAAGGCTATTACGAAAAAAACCTATAAAATGAAAAAAAAAAACGATAAGAAGACAGGTTATGTTCAAAGCTATAAACTACGATTTTTCCCGTTTTTTGTTTGTGTTTTCAAAAACTTTGAGGAGAATCACGCAAAATCACCACCTCGCCCACGTTGTATGTAATCACCGTTAGCACGTAGGTATATGACTCGTAATTCGACAGTGTACAGAGAATATAACTGCAATATGTGGCGTTATGTAAGATAAAATAAAATATTCCACTCGTTACCTCCAAAAATAAGAAGAAGCTGTTTCGGTATCTAAGAACAAACCTGAATTCCAAAGTTTCTTCACCTCAGATCCGCGACGCTGACGGTCATCTCCACATGGATGCCACCGAATCTGCCAACTTACTGGCTGAGTCCTTTATTGATGACTTCATCGATGAGCCTAATGGAGACCTTCTACCGACCAATATCTGCCATAGGTGTCCCAACAGCCTTTGCGAAGTTGAGTCCCTGCCTGAAGATGTATTAATGCACCTGCGAAATCTGAAGACCTCTTCCTCCCCTGGTAAAGATGGGATGACGGCTGCTGTACTTAAAAACTGCGCTTCAGCACTGGCCCTACCATTAAGCTTGACATTCACATCGTCTTTTAGATCTCATACCCTACCCTCATGCTGGCTTAGTGGTTCTGTTACCCCTGTATTCAAAAAGGGCGACAAATCATCCGCTAAAAATTATCGACCAATAAGTCTCGTTCCTATCGCCGCCGAAATAGCTGAAAGAATCATATTAGATAAGCTCCTGTCATTTGCTTTCGAAAATGACCTTATCCCTAAGAATCAGCATGGATTTCTCCCTGGTCGATCAATAATGACCAACCTTCTCCACTCTCTCAACGATTGGACTCAGTATCTGGGCACAAAGACTCCTGTTGATATAATCTTCTTAGATTTTTCTAGGGCTTTCGATCGCGTACCACATAGAAGGCTTCTGTTTAAGTTGGAATGTATGGGAATACGAGGCGAGTTGTTACTTTGGATTAAGGGTTTTCTCACCGGGAGGACTTTCTCTGTGCGCGTCAGTGATAGCCAGTCTCACCTTCATCATGTAGCAAGTGGAGTTCCTCAAGGCTCTGTCTTGGGGCCAGTGCTGTTCCTTCTGTATACAAGTGACCTGCCCGCATTGATTTCCTCCACATGTTCAGCTTATGCCGACGACACCAAGATTTACAATACTGTCGTAAATTCTGCTATGCTTCAACGTGATCTTGATATTGTTTGTCAATGGTCAGTCAGTCGGCTTTTACCCTTAAACCTAACTAAGTGTTGTGTCCTTCACCTTGGGAAGACAAATCCGCGATTTACATACAAGATCTCTGACCACAACATCGAAGCAGTTTCCAGCCACACTGATCTGGGCGTTGTAGTCAACGATCGTCTTTCCTGGTCAGAGCATACTCACCACGTTACATCAATAGCTAAGAAACTTCTATACATGCTGGAGAGGTCTTTCAAAGGATGCGATGTCAACACTTGCGCCTACATTTACAAGGCATTCGTGAGCCCAATTCTTGAATTCGCTGGCCCGGTATGGGACACTGTGCTTCTGCGCGATAGAAATCTCGTCGAATCAGTACAGCGTCGGGCTACTCGTATCCCTTTTGGAGCACGAAGACCAAGCTATGAAGATCGCCTTGAATTATCCAACCTGACCTCATTCTCTGAGCGAAGACTTCGTGACGATCTTATAGTTACGTTCAGGATACTTCATGGTTTGATGGGCACCAACCTCATGCATCTATACCATCTGTCGCGCAGCAATCTACGCGGACACAGCTTCAAACTGCATAAGGAGCCATTTAAAACAACAGTCCGACAGTGGTTTCTTCCCAACCGCATATTCAACACCTGGAATAGTTTACCTGAAAGTGTGTTTGGTGCTACTTCAGTTAATAGCTTCAAAGTGCAGTATGATAGCTGGAGGAGTGTACAAACTTTATAGCTATGAACTGTCTTTTTTTATTTTTTTCTATTTGATGTATTTGTGTTACGTGTCCGTACACTATATTTACTGCATGAGCTTATAGTACTGTGTACTCTGCTCATCTCAATTATCATAATAATAATAATAATAAAGTTAATTGCTTCACCAGCCAGGGATTTTCTTTTCTTATCTCTCTCAATTCAGCAAGCGTGCACTTGCAATTTCCAGAATGAATACAACAAAGTGTATTAGAGGTAAGACACCAATGGAATTATCATCAGCACAGGTTACTAATACGCAAATCCTCACTATGCATCGATGCACCGCCGTTTCTTTCCAGGTACAATATACAAGCTTAGACTTACAATAACGCCATCTCTGAAGCAGATATTACATCAAATCAGTGCTAAACATTGATACCTGAAGCATCATGACATTTAGGCAACACGTACAGCACAAAACGAGTTCATAACATGTGTACAACAGTTTGTGCTAACCTGTAGAACGTTATGTCACAAAAAACCTACGAAATGTCAAAAAACGTCACTTTT